GCTCTCTTTCTCGAGTTGGAAGGTTCAGTCAATGGTCGTCAGTCCCACAACTGGTTCGCATCATACTCACAGTACCGCGGTCAGTGCTTGAAGAAGTATTCGCCGAAAGTCCGAATATGGCGACTCAGACTCCGATTCTCCAATGTCATGTATCAGGGTTGTGGTCTATGAACGCTTTTTCTGCCGTACATGCAGCATTTGGTCGTGTCTCCACCTTGGGATCCAAGGCATCCCCTCGAATTTCGTTTGAAGAAGATAGAGATGGGTTGAAGGGTAGGTCACCCCTCGTAGTTTCATTTACGATGCCCACGCAGCTATTGGTCAATATTGAACCTCAGGACCAGCTCAAGGTCAATTTTTCTATCAGAAGCACTGGAGCCTCTGTGATGTTCACAAAAAAACTTGGCATGAATCTCAATGTGTATAGCGCTGCCCTATTAGATGAGGTGCAAGTTCAAGTTTTGCCAGAATCTCTGTCGCCTTCGAAAATTTCCACTCCCGTGTTCTCGAAAATCGCGCAACATATTGGACCTTCTGGACCAGTAGTAGCGAGCTTCAACGAGGAATGTGAGGTAGTCAACTGGTTATCTACTCGGATCGACATTCAAAACCCCGACGTCATCCATTCATATGGCTCGCTTGGTGCCATTCCTGAAATCAAACAACTTTCGCCGTGTACTGCCCGTATCACAGTGTCCGGGATTTCGCAAATGGTCATTTTCCCGGTTCCTATAAGGGGTGAGGATAATCGCTTACGACTGGCTCGGAAGTCGTTGTGGATTGAGGTAAGTGCAATATTGAATGTACATTGTCACTCTTTGAAACAAAGTTGAATTATAACAGCTTCTTGTACCTCCCTCGGGGCCTTCCCAAAATGGATGCATGCCAACTCGACCGTTTCCAGTTGTGTTGGCTTCAGCTATGTGCCCAGAGATCCATGCATGGAACGTTCACTATGTCAACCTTTCACGATTACCGTTTCTTGACTGTTCACGCCCCACGAAACTATACAAGTGGCTCAATCCTCACATTGGATCGATGATGTCTACGAGAGAGCGGAAGGAACGTAAAAGGCATGAGAAAGATGATCTTATGTTTGTCAAAGATACCCTGCATGCTATCATGGTACGATCTAGCGGTATTCAGGGAGGAAAAGCTCGGCGTTTGTTTTCTCTCATGGATAAAGGAACCCACAATACCGACACGTTGCTATTCGTTAACGGCTTACGCTATGACCAAAGTGCACACACTGTCGTATGTGATGCCTTTATCCTGCCATTGACCGAAGCTATACTGGAGAGACACGACCGTCCCTTTACCAAGCTGGTCAACACTGCCAACGTGGAGCATATACAACTCATGGAGGGAGAGGTGGCATCGTGGAAGCATCTCATTCCAGCATTTGTCGAACGTTGTCGCACTTGGTCCCACGGACAGAACTGCGAGTACAAGACTTTAGGAAGGATCCCACTTACCGAGGAGATTGAACACAACCCTATTTGTAGTTGCGGTGAAGGCAAGGACGTAGAGGGAATGTCAAAAATCGCAGCTTGGCGTCCCTTTGCACCTTATGCCACCCGAATTGCCTTGTCCCCGCTGTTTGCTGTGACATACCTCGAACCCATCCTGAGAGATATTAACTCACGCAGGTGCTGGCTATGTAGAGGCAGAGGGAAACCCAAGTTGCATGAATGTAGCAAATGTCGGAAGGTCAGGTATTGTGGACCTGCATGTCAGAAAAAGGATTGGGCAGCACACAAAAAGAAATGTGTGAAGAACAGTGGTTGATGATGATGGTGGAAGATTAATGATGCATAATCGGAATGAGTACGTTGCCGGTACGATGAGCTAGTGACGCACGATGTACTAGGAGTAAGAATGAATCAAATTTTGTCGGCCTGATGGTCTAGTAGCATGATTCTCCCTTCGGGTTATCCCCTCGTAGATACGAGAAATTTGGGAGAGGTCCCGGGTTCAATTCCCGGTCAGGCCCTTTTAGATGTTGTAGTTTTGCACCTGAATGTTTGCGCGTTCCTCGAACCCCTGAGGAAAGCCATGATGATATTATTATTTCCCACAGCGCATGTTTAGATCCTCTACTCTTCGTCTGTACTCAACGATATTGAGACACCCTGACAAAATATTTTCCACAGTTCTTCTCCCACCACCATCTTGGCCACCAACCGATTCTCTGTCGCCAAGTCCAACCGAGACTTCGTCCTCGCTGCAATGGAAAGAGTCTAAGGTTGGCGACAAGACACTCACCAGAATACTCTCAAATCTTCAATGTACCCTTCGATCTGTTCATAAACGAAAAATATACTGGCCAGTAGAAGAATCCCGTTCTTCTAAGTATGTATAACTTATGAGCATCTACTACCTGGGCTAACAAGATGCATTATTCAGTAGTCTCACACCAAGTGAATATTTGATGACGCTGTTGCGGCCCGTACCAGACATTTTTAACCAATTGCACTCTCCACGATGTCTGAAAGTTCCTATGAAGTGTGTACCCGTCGATTTTCGTTATTGTGAGTCTACTTCACCCTGTTTTTCCCTCAAATGAAGAATTTTGACATACACTCACTAGCTATCTGTGGAGCTACCTTCATAGCGGAAGAATTCAAACTGTGGAGTTTAACTGCTCCAATAGTTTTGTCTGTTGTAAGAGAGATTTGTTCTTGCCGCTACAAATATCTAAACCATGCTCCGACAGTCAGACGACCTATTCCAATCCAATGGACAAGTTTCTTCTTGCGCCAAATATGCACTTTCTCGAGCTCTAGAACACACGTCATCAGCCACCATAATCGTAACAAACTTCAAGGATATCGCCACTTTTTTCCCTCCCGCACGAAACCGCCCTGAGCCTACTTTCGAAAGGATAACAACGACTCAACCCTCTTTGTCGCTCAGGGTCCTTGCCACCGCGTATCTACTCGACGCTCTTCCTGCTGGCGTTTTTATAGACGTTCCTCGACCAGATATGGAAATTGATGAGGACGTTGTCCTTCCACAGGGACCTCCGCAAGACCCACGTCAACCTCTACTTAGAGATGAGGAGGTTTTTGCAACTCGTCACCGTCATTCTGACTTCGATATGGCAACACTAGTTCGAGATCGCGCAAGAGCGCTTCAGTTCTTCCGTTGGCACGAACACGTGTCGAATTTTTTTTCCAAACTCGTTGCTCACCCCAATGACACGCTTACTGCTAAGACGAATGAAGTCGGGCAGTTCGTTCCAGATAATCGTCCCATCTATCCCTTTGACGCCTCTGAAATTCCATCACATACAGCGGCACATCTTATGGCAATACAACGTGAATCGCCTCTTGTGACTGCTGGAGTCGCTGAATTGTTCAAGTGAAGCAAATCCTTCTCGCTCAAGATCCAAGATGTTGTGTCAAAAGGCTCAGAGCGCGGGATCTGCACCGTGTATCGTTGTCAAATCACCTCAATTGACGATGATCCCGTGTCAATATCGCCCCTCTGCCTGAAATTATTCGATGATCGGTTCCAGCCACTGCAGATTCCTGATGAAGACGACGAGGAGCTCGATGACGATCTTCTTCCTCGATGGTTTGACCCGGTCGTTTTTGCTGAGACATACGCTCTTAACGAAGCGTTTGCTTATGATAAACTTCTTCCTGTGCAAGGATCTGTTATTCCTTGGTTCTACGGTACTCACCAGGTGATATGCAGCGTCTTCACGCGGAAGATGCCACTTGCTTACTCTCACTTGACAGTTTACGCTACCTGACGGGACAATTCTATCCGGCCTCCTGATGGAATATATCGAAGGATGGAACCTCGACTCCAGTTTTACACGGGGGTTGACCCCTGATAGGCAAATAAAAATGGTGCGGGTATCATGGTCATCAGTCACGGAGCGAATCAATGACTTTCTTCCAGATCCAAAGTTGTCGACACGCAGCGCGTGTCCTGAACGTTGCTGACGTCGCTCAACGCGACTGGCATAGCGATCAGGTAATCCTCTACACCAATCCTACCACCAAACTCGATCATGCGGTGCTCATTGACTTTGCGTCAACGACGCAGACGTGGGAGCCTCACGAGCTGAACTACATTCAAAATTACTTTGGCCTGCTTCACGTCCTATTGGGTAGACAAGGCGATGTAGGGCTGGATCCGGAGCTTGTGTGGAAACATTATGGCGAGCCGGATGATTGGGATCCGATACGAGCCTGGATCCCTACGGAATCAAAGGGTAAAAACATGAGGGCTGTGAGAGCGAAGGACATGTTCCCTTACATTTCATCTACTTAACTTTGCACTTCCGATGATTTTGGCATAGGCCCAGATCCGAGTATGTCAAGTTGATAATGCAACCAAGTGGACCAATGATACATGCTTGAAAAGCATGAACAAAATTAGGAGGTGAAACTATGCACATGATGATAGAGTGAGCGTCACAGCAAACCATAAATGAAGTACCCCTGTTGTCTGCAACCAGTCCGCAGTGAAATTCCAGTGCCCAATCCGAACTTGCACTAGAAAGTCCTCCAACAACATCAGAGTGTCCCACTGCAGCTGCAGTTCCTGATGGATCAGAAATTTGTACACCAGAAATTTCATTTCTATCTTCTTAATTTGAGTTCAAACCTGAACCACTGCAACTCAAAGACTACTTGACACTCGTTACACTTGATTGGGAGTTCTACTCTGTACTTGACACATTGGTGTCAGATAGCGGTGAAGGAACTTCTCTTGGCTTTCTCTAGAGAATTATCAAGCTCAAAGAGGCTCTGAGTAGCAGGCCACTGAACTGAATCTTGAGCTAGGAACCCATGGGATGATGAAATTCAAGACAAAATCATGAAACAAATTGGCAAGGGAATAATCATGCTTCCTTCATAACAAGTAAGCTCTATATGACAAAAGAGTACCGATTTGTTGACTATAGGTCAGGCCCGGGCAAGATGGGGACCAATGAAGTGGTCCTGACTAGCACCACAGAGAACTACAAATGAAAAAAGGAAGGGCCTGACCGGGAATTGAACCCGGGACCTCGTCGAACACCCTTTGAGAGCCCTAACAACGAATCATACTCCTAGACCATCAGGCCGATGAACGTTGTTCTCCGCAGAGAATCATATCGCGGCGATAGATACGTATTCCAAGCGAGATTGTAAAGGAGTGTTATTGCGAATAGTTAGGAGCGTATAATGTATCTATGTGTCAGATGTGTATCCTCGAGGAATTCCAAAGGTCCCCGCAAGTCGGCTGAAGTAAATGTCGCCATGGATCGAACCGACGTCCCTCGATAAACCCACACACAGGTCGGTTGTCTGTATTGAACAAAGAATGTACAAACAAGTGGACGCTGGAGTTACCTTCCAACTTTAACAAAGGAAAACTGAGGTGTTCAGTTCATGATCCACTGCCGTACTGCCTTTGAAGCTCCAACATCTGGGTGGAGCAGTACAGCGGAGAGCCAGTATTCTAGCTGTCTTCGACGTTGGTCAAGAAATGCTGGACGGTAACGGGCAAAGGGAGCTTTTGGAGGGAGTTGGGGGACATATCGTTGTTGGTGCCGCTGATGGGAAGGTCAGAACATAGTCAGAGAGCGATGCGAAAGTGACACTCACAGGGAGTGAACGTCTCAAAGCAGCATCGAGCTGCACGAATGCATTGTAGCGTTTATGAGCATGTATTGTTGTACCCTATAGAACTTTCAATTAGTGAAGCTATTAAACTTATGACGGGCGGACCTCTTTTGTTTTCACAACACAATCGTATACTGGATAACCCCTTAGTACGAGATGGAAGGCTAGAGGATTGTAAAATACAGACCAACATACGCCCCTCCTCCAAGCTTATCTTTGTCGCCCACATTCGTCCATCCACTGATCTGAACATTCCGAGCAAAAGCTAAACTTTCTCCAACGTTATCACCAAGCCAGATGCTCGTGCTCTCGGTAGCTGAGAAAATGGAGGCCGGTCTCTCGTATTCAGTTGAAGCCCTGGTCATTGGTATCCTCTCCTCGAAGCACATTTCGTCGTACAACCTCGCTTCTTCTTCGATGTCAATTCCAGGATTGCGTATGATTTCCAGCCGTTTTTTCGTGTTAGCAAACGGATGGACATAGGCATTCTGGAAATTTGGGGTGCCCGGAGTTTTGGGCATCGTAGGTGTTATCGGGGAAGGGCATGCGGAGGAAGGCGGAGAGGACATGGCGATGGTAGAAAACGAAGGACGAGATTATCAGGGGAATATTGTCTGACGGAGTAGGACGGGGTTGGTGCGCTCCAAAAGGGACATGGGAATTCCGGAACGGGTTCTATTGTGATCCGGTTCTTGATATCGCCCCGCTCAGATTATACATACATAGGCCTGAGTATCTGTTATTGCATCTGTTTCGTTTCAAAAAACCGAAAAGTAGCATCTTCATACCAGGATTTGAAAGTCGTACGATTCCTACAATTTGTAGTTCGACGCTCAAAGAATACTCCGTCAATCAATGAGCAATGGTGTAACTATCGGGATCCGGGTTATGGTCTTCTGTAGCTTTGCAGATCCACAATACACATAATATCAATCTGTCATAAACCTGAGACTCAGGAGTGGTACAGCTACAGTGAATCATTTTCGTACTCTAGGAGGTTAGCAACCGTAATCAGAGCATTCGATGAAAAACTGTAAACAAACGTTCGGGATACATGATAGTTGGTCAACGGAATTCGTGATTCAACCCATGATAGATGATGAGGGGTTCTGTAATTGTTAACCTATGTCTTGAAGTAACAGAACATGTCGAACAAAGCGCTACGAACATATGAAAACAAGGGGGCGAATTCGACAAACACAGAACAAACACACTTACAGTAGGATACACGTTCTAAAAATATCGTACAACACAGGAACAGTTCGCAGCAAAAACAACATAACTATAGAATCATTACAGGCCCTATGGCTGCTCTTCACTGGAAGATCCCTCTTCAAAGATGTGTGTAGCTGTGGTATTAGGGGGTATTATAACCTCCGCCATCCCCACTTCGACATGCGGAAGATCCTCTTCATCAGCGCCTTCCTTTGACCGATGGGCAGCAACCGCCAGAGCACCAGGCATCGCAATCAGCACAGCAACTTCTACATGCGTTGGCACGGACATCTCTGCGTGCGGCAGTGTTTGATGTGCTTTCGTTTCAACCAGAGGGTGGGCGTTGTGGGAAGCGGAAAAATTGTGATCGGATTGAGAAGGATGATGGGAGCCAGGTGAAATAAGCCTCCAAATTCCTACAGCTACGCGAGCAGAAGCTGCGGGTGCTGAACGAAGACGACTGGCCATGGAATTCGTTCCAAGAGCGGGACTCGAAGTTGTGTTGTGATTGTTGACACCATCGGAATCGGAAGAAGCATCTCCAATGTTATCTGCGATTGATTGTGGATTTAACGTGGACGAAATCGATGCAGACACCGGAAGAATATCTGCCCAGCCACCTTCCTTCCCATTCCATTCACTACGGACCGTTGCCTCCCACATCTTTGGTTTCATGGCCAGATCCACTCTACCGCGAGCAGTAGCTATCACGCTTGGTGGGACATATGTTCCATTTCGGATTGCTTCCTCGACCATGCGACGGTGGCGTCGTCTAAGAACGAGAGAGCGTACCACGATAGCGGCGGAGACACCAAGGAGCAGAACAAGCGTGGCGAGGAAGGTGTAGACTGTGAAAAGCTGCTCATTACGGATTACCGCCTACAGTGTGAGGTAGACGTACGATAAAGAGAAGCAGAGTTCGCGAGACTTCCACCACTATTCGAGCCTGAGCCAGTATCTGTGGAATTTCCGCCGCTAGGAGTGCCAGATTGGATAGATGAAGTCGAAGACGTTCCAGAAGCAGAATTGGTTACCGAGACCACAGAAGAGAAAGCTGAAGATGAAAGCGATGTTGTCGAAGACATGGTGATGGTTAGTAAATATGTTTCTTTGTTGTTAAGACGATATCTGGGGAGAAAGTAAGCCACCAATGTAAGACAAGTGAACTAGAAAAGGACTGACTTTTGAGAAACTGCTTCTGAAAGTGATCGAAGAGAATTAGTCGTAAACTGAGTCGTTAATTATCCTTTGGTTCACTGGGACTCGGAAGTCGTGCTGAGCAACAACAAGAAACTGAGTGAGAGTCCAATGACAAGGTGATACCAGGGCACAGGGCCAATTATAACGACGGGACGATGTTTCTGGATTGGTGCTCGAGGAATACACGTCCCGCAGCAAGATTAACCCGGATTTGGGTTCGGCTGGACACGCTCAGCGGTTGACAGCAAATAAAATTGGCAGGTAAAGTGAGAGGAGGGAAGTGAGTTTCTCAGCCTTACGTGATAGCCTGTGATTGGCCTTCGGGCACAGCCCCATAGATTTCCGTCAGATATTATCCGAGTCCGAATGTTTTGCCGCCATGCATGGGGAAGGTGGTTCGGTGTTCGCGCAGAGCCTTCACTCGCATGTGCACAAAAACAATCAATCCAATCTGTTCGGGATTCGGGAAGGATTGTCAAGCACTTGACACTGCCGTGTTAACACCAATCCTACCGGTCCACAGTCGTTCCTTTTCGAATTCACGAAACGAAAATATCCAAAATAGACTTCACTGTCGTGGACCCCAGCCTGTTGGTGTCTAATGTACTTGGATTGTAGGATAAGAATGGAAAATCAAACAAAATTGACCAATTCCGGGGTAGAATATACCTTGCAAAGCCTTCCAAGAAAGGTGGATTATATCTCAAAATATGTTCGTCGAAACTCACGTCTCGGAAATTGAGGTCAATTTCAACTTGGTGCTCAATCTTTTTCGCGAATGATTCATTCGCTCAGAGGTGACTCGGATCGAACGCACACGAGCATCACAAGAGCCACAAAGATCCAATTACCATAACAGTAGATCAAGCATAATTATTATCATAATGTCGCATCATGACCAGTACCCACAAAGTACTGTACAGATACAACAAGGAGATTCAAGGATACCCTTGTCCTATTGATCCTATCTTGTCTGGGCCACCTGCTGTTGAGTAGCTTCTTTCTTCTTTTTCGAAGTCTCGCCGACAGCATCGAATACATTTCCCAATGTGACCCACCAGAAACTTTTTGCACCGTAAACGGGATTTTCTCGCTGAACATACACTGTTGCGAGCCTAAACGAACAAAATGCCCGCACAAGGTACTGCTCTGGTGTGAAGTGGGTCCCATGCAGCATATCGTAAACACCCTTGACGAGGATGTTCGTCTCCTCGCGCAATTTCCGTATGTGATCGTTACGGACGGCAGTTGACACTTCCGCATTGTATAGGATCGTCCCCGCTACGGCCTCTTCTTCTGATAGCAGATACGATTTGCTACGGTTGAGATTGTGCATCGAACAAATAATCTGAAGGTCAGCGCAGTATTGAACGAACATCCCATGTAGTTCGGAGTTGTTGTCATGCTCCTCGTTTCCCTCTATGAACTGTGCAACATAAGATTCAATGACTCCTAGAATGTCGCCAAACTCTGCGCCGGAAATACTGGTTATACTCATGAGCGTCGTGAGTTGGTCCAGAGAAAGTTCATCCTGTTCTTGAAGGTCAGTGTGGTGACCCGATGAGCTAATTTCCGAGCCAGAGGACAAGTCTATATCCCTGAACAATTTTCCCAGCGCTCTTGTACTGCGATAGTACTTCTGTTCATCAATCACTTCCATAGACTCGGGTGCATACCAATCAGGAAGACGCTTGTTATACATGGTCTTTCTGGGAATCGAATAAAAAGACACAGGATTTCCTGTCTTCGGATAGTCAACCGCTTGACTATGAAGGTCTGCGAGCCTCAGACATTCATTGTCTAGAATCCCTCTGGGACTCGAATCCGCAAGAACACGCCAGGTAAGAGCCACCTGACCAATGGCCTATAACATGGCGAGTAAGTAAACTGTAAATAGGGAACGGTCATGGAAAACGAAACTGACATCCGATAAAATGTACTGCATAACAAATTCTGCAACATCGAGGAGAGTGCAATGGCGAATGAGCTCCCGACGAACCGCGGGTTTGTACAAACTAGGTTTCTGAATTTGAGATTGGGAAAT